AAAATTTAAGTCTTTGGTAAAATTTACCAGGAGGCCGAATGAGCCAGAGTACTTGCTTCTTTACTAGTCAAAACACAAGTTCCCTATCATATCGAATGTTCCTTCTTTTATACCGAACATACCGGAGCTTTTTGGTGTAGCGCACCGGTATTATTTGCTGTTAACTTCGCCGTAAAAGTTGAACTATTCGTGTTATATTTTGTACTTCTTGTGTATTTTCATGTTTGCATGCTTTTTCTTTTTGAAATATTGAAATATATATTTAATATTATCTAAATAAATAATATCAAAAAAACAAATGTGAAGAAAATATTCGTGATAAACAAGTAATTTCACAAAATAAAAAAAACTGGTGCCGGCGTGTTTTGTTAATTTGTTTTTGGCGGTGGCTAAACTTTCTGTTTGATTTGGTTTTATGTGTATAAAAGAATAAAAACTGTGCAAAGTGAGTGTTAAATTGTTTTGTATTTATTTATTTCTTAAATATATATTTTAAATAAATAAATGTGTTTTCTGTTGTAATTGTTTATTTTTTGTTGTGTTTAGAATTCAAATACAAGTTTTTTTCATTCATAAATTGTAACAAACAAGAAATTATTTTTTTTCCTTTATCGCGTATTTAAGATTTTGTATATTGCATGCATCGGTGCCCGCGGCACGCTGGAACCGAGGATCGCAGGTAATGTCCATGTGATTTATGATAAAATATATTTATTCAATTTCATATTTTTCAGATAAATCCATTGCAGTTATCTTCACGTGAATGTTCTTACTTTTACTATGTGTAGAGGTAATGGTTAGGTGACATTCAGACTTTCTTTTTCTCTTGTTCTTGATATATGTGACATAGAAATTTACTGTGCAAATTTGTATCGTCACAACATAAACAAAGTAAACAAATGCTATGACATTAAAAATTATGCAAACGAATTGCACATTCGGTTAAAAAATACAATTACAAATGCCAGAAAATTGATAAATGCAGTGAAAATAACAAGAAAACAAGAATACGACAAAAATGTAAACAAATCTAATTTTAAAATTGGAGATATGCTGTATGTAAAAAACCAAAATAAACAAAAACACCAGAGTCCGTATCATGGGACATACAAAATTATAAAAACAAATGGAACAAATTCCATTATCGAAATAAAAAACAAATGTAAAGAATTTCATAATAACCAACTAAAAAAAAATACTTAGGAACATATGTATAACAGAAACAAAAATGTATCATAAATTAGTCGTATGTAATCATTATTATTTTAGATATTAAACAACATTTCAATACAACATACATAAATTATTAATAAGTACAAATATTTTACACACATAATCATATGTTACGAATAAGATACATTAGATACAACAAAATATAGAAATATTAAAATATATATATAAAATACAAATATAAGTATAGAAAATATGTAAAGCGATTCCACGACTTCACAAAACAAAAAAAAAATTATTCCGTTCATTTTTCACGTAATAAGTTTTTCTCAAGGGCAAGGGTGTAGTGGACCTACTTCTAAGCCACTTACCAGCACTCATAAATAACAATAAGCAAATTTATGAATTAATCACATTTCATGCATACCACACAAGAAGCATAAGCAAAGCGACATACACAAAAGAGTTTCGCATTTCCAACGAAACTATTGCCACACACTGTTCCAATATTTGATGATGTGGAAATACATTCAATAATAATATTTCCTATATGTCAATGCACTCTAATAATAACTTTGACGTTTGACCTATATGGGTAAACAGTGTAGTCGCATTGCAATGCATTCTGCAAGCTCAGCAATCACTTTGATTGGCTGCCTTTATACTTTTCCAGGTTTTGTCTGGAATGAAGAGGCGGAGTCATGGGAGCGCTACGAACAAGAAAATTGTATAAATACCCAAATAATTGTTCAATAAAAGAGAGTATACTTATGACTGCAAACCTATGCGTTGTTGACTTATTCTCGCACCCTTCTGGCCACGTAACACTGGCCTAGGTACCAGCGGTAACAAGCCGCTTCTTAACTTGTTCTTGACTGCATCATTAGGACTTGAATGTATGCTCGACTAGGCAGGGAAAGAATGTAGAAACATAATCGACGAGGTAAATCAGTAAGTTGAAATCACCCTTGTTTGAGTTCCCAGACATAAGAAAATCCAATGGAACGAAAACGCCGACAGTTTAGCCCGCTTTGGTGTTTCCCTGGGTGTGTCCCTGGCGGTACCGGTGTATTTTACCCTAGAGGTCATTAAGAGAAGTACTTATCTCTACTTTTTTCAACTTCCCAATAGCAGATGGAAAACACGTAAGTCATATGCAACTTTCAGATAACCATGGCCCACCTATAATAAAATTAGATCATCGGAACTCATCAAAAGAGACCACGTGAACACTGCAAGGCTTACTGCAGTTATCTCTGCTCATTGGTGTGTAAGAATCCACGCAGAGAAATTGTGTGTTTTTTATAATCCTCACTACAGAAGTTGTGGAAACTTGCAGGAAAAAGAAACCATAATACATTTTCTCTGTGAATACCCGAGAGACTTACTGAAATATATAAATTCGACGGGATAGATTTAGTCTGGACTCTTTTGTACTAGAGGTTCATGCGAGGAATGTGGTGACAAAACGGAGAAAAATCGCTAATTGAGGTACATGGAAGTTATCCAATGGCCTGTCTCTGCAACCAACCAAAAAATCAAAAGCGAAAGAATTCAGAAAGAAGCTGAACAATTTAAACAAAATTAGTTTTCAACGTATCTTTTGATTACATTTTTTGGAATATTTCTTGTTCTACAATTTGCTTTTATAAAGACTTTAGCTTCGGTAACTTATACAATGTTATATAGATCAGCAAAAGTGGTTTCTAGCATTTTTTTTTGTGAGACTTTTTACAAGTATCTTTTGACCTACTTCATAATTTGGTGTATCTGTTATCTTTTTATTATACACTAATTTTAACTTTTCTTTAAAAACCGTTGTATTTTCCTTTACTTGTTTTTTGTTGTTCTCTATGACATCTTTTATACTATTTACATACTCTCCAATTGTTAATAAATTTAAAGCATTAATTCCACTTGGTCTATTCCTTTTCCTTCCAAAAACAACGTCATGTAGTATATAATACGTAGAGGAATGCGTAGTTGAATTATAACTGTTCGTGAACCAAATGCACAGTACATTGGGATTGCACCTTTTTGAACATTTGTTCAAAAAAAGCGAAATGCATTGAACCACCACACTTTTGTAGGCACACTTTTTGCTTGGCTGTTATTCATAGTACACGTGGGTTCTTTTATTTGTTACAATTGTAAACTTGAAAATTAAATAAAATGTGTTAATCACTTAATATTAAATTGAAAATTAAATAAAGTGTATTCTTAATCAATAATTGGTCCTTCGAGCCATATTATAATTGAAAATTAAATAAAGTGTATTCTTAATCAATAATTGGTCCTTCGAGCCATATCATATTTGAATCATATTTAAACCCCATTTCGTTATGGCAAGGGAAATGAAGAGGTTAGTGCACGTGCGTGGATGCCTTAAGTGGTCAATTACTCGAGCACTTGCTTACGCAACCAGTTCTCCAGAAAAGGTGTCCTGCGATGAAATCGTAACTAGGACTGACAAACTAGAAGATATTTGGCAGCAATTTGTTAGGTCAACGGATGAGATGTACGCGTTTCGAAATGTTCCCGACTACGTCGACCCTGATTCCGATTTCGCTACATATTGGGAGAAGTACTTGTCTAGTCAGGGTTGCATACTTGCTTTGAAACGTAGCCTTGCACCAAATGTGCGACCTAAAGATGATGATGATATCATGAATAAGCTAGTGGAACAGTAAGCATCATTTTTAAAACAATTTTCATCCACTTCTAATGTTTCATCATTTCAGGGAAATGAGTTGACCAAAATTAACATTCCGCACTTCTCAGGAAAATATACAGATTGGTCATCATTTAGAAATTTATTCACTCAAAGTAGAATCTTTCTTTTACTAAAAAATTTCACTACTTGAAATCTCTATTGAAGGATGAAGCTGCTGCTCTTATCAAACATATTCCAGTTACGGAAGTTGCTTACAGTACAGCGTGAACACGTCTACTGGAGCGTTTTGATCGCCCTAAGCACATCGTCACGGCATTTATTGAAAACTTTATGGCGTTTCCATCAACATCGCAGGAAATTGTGCAATTTGGAGGAGAATTTTTGATGGGGCAAAAGAAACAATAAGGGGCCTCAACGCAGTAGGCCAAACCAATCGTGATTGTTGGCTTATTCATTCATTATTATCGAAGGTTGACCCTGAATCTCGTCGGAAATGGATACATGAAAGTCGAGGGGATGCTTCGCCGTCAATCTCTAAACTTTTTGAGTTTTTAGATTCTCGCTGTGATGAATTAGAGTTCACCCAGTATAAATCTAATTTAAATTTAAAACCACAGGACAAATCAAAATCATCTTTCGTTTCTGTCGACAAAGGGTTATAAAAATGTGTCAAATATATTTCAACTGATTCAACTGAAAAGTCACAAAATCGCGACAAAAAAAAAGTCACAAATTCTCTGCATCAAATTCCGATGTAGAGAATGCCAAATGCACCACCACACTCTTGTACACAAGTTGCAGATTAATTCGCCAACAACAATTGCTTCTTTATTATCGCTGCGATATCCTCTGGCAGGCCATAGTCAACTGTTGCTAATATTTCTCGTCCAGATATTTTGAATCCCACTACTTGTCTGGAATGTTCGCTAACAGTAACCACTCTAACTTGTTATCAAGGCAGTAGATACCTGTTACCAACAGCATTTATTGACGTTCGCAACACTCAAAATAGATATATTACATGCCGTGTCCTTCTTGAGAGTGCATCGGAACTAAATTGTATCTCGGAGTGATACTTCGTTCATCTTCCCGTATTGATGTGTCTAGAATTTCTTCTGTTAAGGCCGAGACTACACGTGGCTGTTGTACACTCTATATGAAATCAAAGATTTCCCAGAACACACTAGATGTAAGTGTTCATGTCTTGAGCAAGACTACATCAGCAATTCCTACGTCACAAATCAATACTCCTACTATGGAGCAATTCAAGGACTTGAATCTTGCAGATCCATCCTTTAATTCTTCATCACCCATTGATATTTTACTTGGTGTTGACCAAGTTTGGAAAATATTTACTTTTAACAAAATTTTCGACTCTTTTAATAATCCTATTGCTGTATCAACAATATTCGGATGGGTAGTGACATCAGTTCAGGCATCCATGGATAATATAGTATCGTCTCTTGTAACTACGATTGATATAGATCGCTCGCATCGAAAGTATTGGGAAATCGAAGAAGCCTTGCATTCGTTGCCATTAGACGCAGAAAACGTTCACATAGAAACTCATTTTTTAGAAACGCACGCACGACAATCTGACGGTCAATATATTGTGGAGCTTCCATTCAAGGAAAAGGGTATCAAATTCGGAAACACGCTTCAAGGGGCTACATAAAGGTTTAATACTGTTGAACGTGGCCTACTGAGGGACAGTCACCTTCATAAGCAATATACTGAGTTCATGCGTGAATATACTCGCCTGGGACACATGCGGGAACTTAAGCCTGATGAGGTTGTTGCCAGTGATGGCCACAGTTTTTATATGCCGCATCATCCAGTAATTGAACCAAAACTTCGCATTGTTTTTGATGGCTCATTTCAAGCTACTACCGGAGTTTCGCTTAACAGTATGTTGCATACAGGTCCAAGTATACAACGAAAATTACTTAATGATCGCCTTCGCTTTCGTATACATAAATATATATTCTCTGCTGATATAGTAAAAATGTTCCGTCAGATTTGGGTATCAGAAAATAATAGAAATTATCAACGCATTGTTTGGAGAGAAGATCCATCAGAAAAACTAATACATTTTCAATTATGTACGGCTACGTATGGTACATCATGCGCACCATTTCTCTCTGCGAGGGACCTCGAACAGCTTGCAAAGGATCACCAAAGAAGGTACCCTCTCGTTGCGAAAATCATTCTTGAAGATTTTTACGTTGACGATGTCATTACTGGTTCGCAGTCCGCGAGTGAACTAGAAGGAAAACGTGATGAGCTAATTCAACTTTATGCGGAAGCAGGATTCGAACTTCGAAAATGGGTCTCTAATTGTAGTTCCATGACCTCTAATTTTTATGATCAGTCTGATCAATGTTTTTTGAAGGATGAGCTAGATGATATGACGAAGGTTTTGGGTATCTATTGGAAGCCATGCGAGGACGTAGTAAGTGACAAGTGTTATCAGACGTATCACGGATCTTTGATCCATTGGGCTTTCTTGCTCCTGTTATTGTTCAATTCAAGATCTTTTTCCAAGAATTATTGGGCTAAAACGTCGTGAAGACTTAAATAATGTTGCAAAATTGTCATTGCCAAGATGGGTGTGTAACTCTCTTAATTGAATTGAGTTACATGGATTTTGGGATGCTTCAACAAAAGCATATTCTGCAGTCGTTTATTGTCGATTCCAGAATAAAGATGGGGATATAAGGACATCTCTTGTTGCTACAAAAACATGTGTGGCGCCGTTGAAACAAATTTCTTTGCCGCGTCTAGAGTTATGTGGCGCTCTTTTATTAACGAAACTGTTAAATTCAATAACAAAGGCTTTGCCAAGGAAATCAACGTAAAGGCTTGCTGTGACTCTACTGTGGTTTTAGCGTGGTTATCGAAACCACCAATCAAATTAAAAACGTTTGTCGCGAATTGCACAGCAGAGATATTAGAGACTCATCCCCGAAGTAGCTGGGGACATGTTAAATCTAAAGAAAATCCAGCTAATTGCACTTCTAGGGGCATGATGGCTCACGAATTATTAGACTTTGAACTATGGTGGAAGGGGCCTCCCTGGCTAGCGACCGTAACTACTGGTAAGTCTTTATATAATAACGATGATAATTTCCTCGCATATTCAGAAGAAGATGTAACCGATGAAATGAAGTGTACCAAGGCAAACCTAGTCTCTATGGAAGTAGCGAGGGATAATAGTTTAGAAGAGCTGGTAGGGTCTCAAACACGCAGCCCCGATATGTTCAGCAAGGCCGTGAGCAATCTACCTTTTATGAATTAAGTGAAGCTCGAATAATTTGCTCAAGACTTGCACAAACTTGCTACAACGATGATTTGCTGTCATTAAGAAATAACAGGGAGCTTAGCAAAGGATCTACCTCACTCAAACTTACCCCATTCATTGATGATACCGGACTTTCACGTGTCGGCGGAAGAACTTTAGACAAGAACACCCATCATCCTATTATACTCCCGAAGGAACATAGAATTGTATATTTGCTTATTTGTTTACCTTGTTACATCTGCCATACACCTCGAACTCGCTACTGACCTCCGTACTAATTGTTTCCTAGCAGTACTTCGCCGTTTTATGTCCCGCCGTGGAAAGTGTTCTTCAATCTTTAGCGATAATGGAAAGAATTTTCTTGGTGCTTCTCGTGTGTTAAACGAGATGCATGCAGCAATTATGTCGCAGGCTTTCTAGTAGAATGCCTATCTATTTTACCTAATTGGCACTCTTTACAGGGTCTAACATGGTCTGTAACCATGTTGTTTAAATTCTTTCATTATATCTTTCTCTAACTTTTTCAATTGTTGCTTTTTGCCCAATGTGACCACCTATAATACTGACGTGATATTGCTTTATTATTTCTTTTTGTTTCTCAAGATCGGTTATTTCAATTGTTTTGCTTTTATTCTGAACATTTTCCTTCACAACGTTTTAAGCCTTTACGTTATCTGATCATTCCTTATTTTCATTTCCTATTTTGTTTGCATCATTTACATTTTTTTTGTCTCTTTTGCTCCGTCTTTTTCATCGCTCAATTCATTACAGCAGCTGTAACGTATCTTTTTCTTCTCCTTCCTAGTCACAACTAAAACATTTCTACTTAAATAACACTTGTTTACAGCCAAAAATTTCCAAAGACAAGACTTATATTTCCTATAGGGAAATTTTCCGTAGAACTCGAAAATCACAACGATTTTTTTTTCCTGTGTATTTGCAAAAAACCGTTATTTTGACTTTTCTCAAAATATTACCCTATATATGGCCCCGTAACTTTATTTTTGAAGTTACTATAGTAGTTCGTGGGATATCAAATTAAAGGTGAAAATGTTGTACGAACATTTTAAGCTACATAATATTAATGTATCTTATTTGGTTTCGCTGCTATAGCTGAAAATGTACAGATGAAAAATGTTTTTTTTTTCAACTTTTTCGATTTTCAATGTGATGGGACTCCCACAAAAATATTTAAAAAAATTCTTTTTTTGATTGATGTTAAAGACTGTTTTAGTACAAACATTTCGAGTGGCTTAACATAAAAATCGAATAAAAATTTCAGAAGTTATTCGCCATTTTCCAAATTTGCCGAAAATAGTGGTTTTTATTAACAAATCAGAAGAATCAATTTTTCGAATTTATTTTTTTAAATTTTAAGTACAAATCAAAACAGTATTATATAAAATTGTACAAATTTTATTTAAAAATTAATATTATTAAATATTAATATATTGCATTTCATATAAAAGTTTAACGTCGAACGTTAGTTTATTAAACTGCTAATTTAACATATGGTATCGTATGATACCATACAATTCTTCTTGGGATTTGCTATGGCTAAGCAGGATAAACCGTGAAGTTCTAATGCAGTGTGTCTGCAGGATTACACTTAAAAGATGGTATGTGAACCATTCTCAGTGTTATTTCTGCATTATAAATCTTAAATGTATGATGTCACCAAAGAAAATAAGATTTCTGAAGTATCCAGAAATAATATCAGCAATTAAGCCAGTTTTACGAAGCAATGCGACTCCTCAACCAACTCCACCGAATATGCAGGATATCAGTAGTGAATATGAAAATAAAGTTTCATTTGAGAGTTCTACGAGTAAAACCGCAAATCATTTATATCACAAATTGAATTATACGATTTAACTAGAGACTTACATTTATCAAAAGCTCATAGTGAGCCTCACGTTACGTCTTCAACAGTGGAACTGCTTAAGTGAATCCACAAGAGTAAATGAATATCGCAACAGAAGCAATGCATATTCATGTTTTCTCCAAAAATTCCATCAAACTGTTTATTGCAGTGATATTAAAGGTCTTTTCAAGAAATTGCAAATAATAAGATGTAATCCTAGCGAATGGCGTCTTTTACAGATAGTTCAAAATTTAGTTTAAAAGCTGCTGTTGTTCACAACGGCAATGAACTTCTCACTATACCATTAGCGCATGCCGTTGGGGTAAAGGAAACCTATAATGAAGTCGCGAAAGTTTTAAAGTTAATTCAATATAACGAATTCAATTGGAAGCTATGAGATGATTTAAAGATTGATTTTTTGACTATATGTACTCTTTCTGTATTTTTGTTTTTGAAGATTATTGCATTAATCATTGGGCTGCAACGTGGTTTTACGAAATATTGTGGGTTTCTGTGTGCATGGGTCAGCAGAGCAACAAAGGATCATGTTATACTTTCATCTTGGCCAAAAAGAGAAGATCTCACAATAGGAATTCAAAATATCGCGAATAAAGCTCTTATTGAACCGTGTCAGAAAGTTTTGCCACCTTTGCATATAAAACTTGGCCTAATGAAAAATTTTGTTAAGGCTCTGTAAAAAAACAAAATTTCTGCTTCCGAATATTCTGCTTCCAGCATTTCTTTTGCCAAAATTAAAGAAGGAATCTTTGGTGGACCACAAATCAGAAAACTGATGAAGGATGAAAAATTTAATAATGTGTTAAATAATGAAGAGTTGAAAGCATGGACTTCGCTTAAGCAAATGGTTATCGGCTTCTTGGGTAACGAAAGAGATTCACTTTACAGAGAAAGTTTTTCATCATTAATTACAAAGTTCTTGGGGCAAATATGTCTCTAAAAATGCATTTCTTGCAGTCTTATGTGGACTTTTTCCTTCAAATTTTAGTGCGGAAGGTGATGAACAAGGTAAAACGTTTCATCAGGATATCTCTGCAATGGAAAAAGATATCAAGGATATTGCGACGCAAGCATGTTGGGAGATTATTGTTGGACAATTATAAGAGAAACAAATCCACTATAAGAAGCTTACTCAAAGTATACATATACCTCAGTATAATATATAAATTCACTTTTTATACTGCAGTTTCACGTTCGACGTCAAACTTTTATATAAAATGCAATATATAAAATTTATACAATTTAATATAATACTGTTTAGATTTGCACTTTAAATTTTAAAAAATAAATTCAAAAAAATGATTTTTCTGATTTGTTAATAAAAACCACTATTTTCGGCAAATTTGGAAAATGGCGAATAACTTCTGAAATTTTTATTCGATTTTTATGTTAAGCCACTCGAAATGTTTGTACTAAAACAGTCTTTAACATCAATCAAAAAAAAAGAATTTTTTTAAATATTTTTGTGGGAGTCCCATCACATTGAAAATCG